ATCCGGCACAGAAGATTTACAAGTGTAACACAGAGGTGATACACTTCAGCGGGTCGACCAGTTGAAATAATCTGGCTACATCATTTCCACACATGGCACTATCCAGACAGATTTAAATACGACGATTGCCCCAGCCTCCACTAATTATGGAAACGCGTTCAATGCTGGGATTTTGAAATGAGTTACTGTTTGGGCGAAAATCCAGCTGTATCATGAGTCTATCGATTCAGTACTGTTGTATGGAGACAATCGTTGTAATGAGCGCGCAAGAACGACGGCTGAACTGCTTGCAGCAGGGTGGTATCGCCTAAAAGACATGGCCATGTAAACATTGATTCTATATTCCTGAGGGTACCTTTAACCTCGAGAAAAAAGGATGGCTATGTCACGCAAACCTGCTGAACATACACAATTACTCCAGCCCATGAGGATCACGTGTGAAAGCAGAAACACGGTAAACAACAGCCGGAAAGGCAGCATGCATCACGAATGAACAATGTAGAGGCAAATTATCAGAATGACATTAAGAAACAAACACAATACGCCTTACAACAAGTGTTTAAAAGCTGCAAATACAGAGTACATGACAAATCTGACACGTTCTGTGTGTGCAAATGACTCAATGTGATGATCCCGACAACCTTTCGCTTACTTGCTATCGTTTGCTTGTTGAGTTACTTCTTCATACATTATTGACATATTCGCTTACCTTCACAGTCCGTCTTGCTTTCGTCTGGAATTAGGGGAGGGGGACAACAGCTTCAGGTGAAATTCTTTCGGTCTGCGCTTACGGGTCGGAATGGAGGTCGGTTCGTCAACAAAACTGAGCCATTTGCTCCTCGATCTATTGTTGAGAATCTTCCATGTTGCTATGTCCAGAAACAACTTACATAATGACAAAATGTTCAACCCATCGCAACGAAGATCGATGCCTCGGGTGAAGGAGCGGCTGAAAATTCAGGAAGTAGCGATTTTCGCTTGATCTGACGCTTGTTCACGTCGCATGCCAATAGTGCTTGTTCATTTCTGCATCATAGAGTCACTTGGTTTTATATAATGGATTTCTTACTGATGATAAAACAAGAATATTATCACTCTTTTTAACCACCCGTTCTTCCATTCTTCCGGCCTGGCGATCAAGCAAAATGCCGACTTATTTGCAACCTGCTTGACGAATTATCTCACTGGGAAGTTTCAATGAAAATTTAAGGGGATTTCTCGAGAAAACATTCAACAATGATAACTGATTATGATTAGAGAACTTCACTATTCATGTAAAAGTACTAATCAGACAATTCAATTCCACTTGTAATAATCAATTTATGGAATATACTGACCGGAAGCAAGTTTATGGCTCTATAGGGTGGTTCATCAGGTTGGATCAGTTGGAAAAATGTGGTCCGAAGAGATAACTATGCATAAACCATCGTGACACTTGTCCTACTTAGCCAATGCGCTTCTAGGGCGATCAAAGAAGTGAAGATCATGAACATCAATATGGAAGGATGAAAAAGGATGTTATTTGTCACTCTTCATCCTACAGAAAATATTAATGTTTTGTGCGATATGTCGGCATAACGAATAATGAGCGTCACATGATGCCAAGGAAAGGCCACTCAAAACCAGTGTAAAATTCCAGCAGTCTGCTGACGTGTCAGTTACGCACGTACATCATCATCACCAACGTCCTAGCCTGGGAAGAATCTTGTAAAGGAGACTAAATACTGACGTCGGTTCATCGTTCATTTTCCAAAGCCACGTACAGTTTATCAGTACTTCGAGTAAACGGTATGCGACAGCGTGAAATATTACGGCAATAAAATAATCGGTTTTTCAGTGGACTCTGATGCCTAGCATTCGTTCGTCATAAGCTTGCAAAGTCGCGTTCAGAGCTCAACACCTGGCACTATAAGAAATCCTCGTTAACTCAAACATCACCGATTGGCTGGCTAATCATCTGGTTCTGCAGTACGTCGCATGGGTGCACATCTCACGGATGTCCAGAACCGCCGTTTCAAGACAAGAGCCACTGAAGCTCGGCTGACCTGAGTGCCAAAGACCGAGTGAGAACGGGTCGGCGGCAATCGATGATCAACCTCATTCGCCTTTCTCAACCAGTCATCCGCCAAACTGACACGTTCATAAAATATGAGGAGCGCAAGATGAGAATGACGGCGACAAAGACATGCAGTCACGGTTGTGAATTCATGACTGTTCATAACGGCGACGGCGGCGCATTTCCATTCACCCATTCGTCAGACGACGGACGACCTCAAAGAGAACCAACGCGTTTCGGTGAAAACAACGTCAATCAAAGGTTAATAGCTTCGGCTTAAAGCATCCAGCACTTCCGAATAGTAGTCACTAAATAAATGTCTTGTTCTCGGATTCTGTCAAATTTCCTGTAGTACTACAGATAAGGACAAATGAGGTTTCCAGGGAGGAAAACGAAAACATGATTCGGACGTTCATCTCCGCACTGAGGTTCTCTAATATATACAAGTCACAAAAACCCATAATTCTATTCAGGTCACGAATTATGTGCAAAGTGCAAATTACCTAAGGTGACATTCCACAGTCGTTAAGGTATGCCAATGCGAACTGCCAATCAAGTCACTAGCAAAGTCATCATACGTTGTTTAGCAAGTTCGCTCAAAGAATAAACTAAGCACCATCGAAATCTACTGACTATATTTTCTTCCAGTGAAAGAATTACGATTATGATCCATGTCAATACTCGCAAAATTAACAATCACCAACAGAAGATATAACACAAAAACCCAAAAAAAATCACGAAAGAACAAATACCCTAGCCATGAAACGTTTAATCAAACATACCGATACGGACAACAAACTATTATACAAAGATCATAATGGTTAGCTGCACAAAACTTGGGTCACCATGACCAAAAGAAGGCAATCAAGCTACATATACTTTGAATAATGACAGTAAACACGGATCACTATCAAGAGGGTATTCACGGCATTATACGACTCCTCCTGTTCCTACAGGCCAGGAGTACAACTCATGGATTGCATATCTCAAGGGAATATAAAGATTTATAATATTAGAATTATAT